TATATTCTTAGGACTGGAGAAGTATGTAATGAGGGGTGCTATCGGTCAGAAGGATGTAAAATTCATTGGAAATCTCCTAGGCGGATTCCCTGTATAGAATGCGGAAAATTAACTTCCTCTGTTTATAGTGCTTGTAGGAAACATGCAGGTAAATATCGTATTCGAGAATTTTATCAATGTCAGAAGCTTGCAAAAATTCAGGCTGATGACAGGTTAGTTTTAGACTAGAAAAAGGTAGCTTTGTTCTCATATTTTGGGAACATGCTCCGCTTCGCTCTGCAGACTGCGAACATTAATTGTTCTCATAACTTGTATACATGCTTCGCTTCGCAAACCTTGTTTGTATCCCATTTGCCTTATAATATTAGCATATATTTTAAGGTAATATAGGGTCGAAAAAATATAGCATCCGCCATAAAGGGCTCCTGCTATATTTTTTCTCCTATTAAATGCGTATTCGCTAGTGTTACCCTAAAGGGCTTTGCCAGCTTATGCTTGTTCTCTCTTGCTACCTAAACAGTATGCTATTGAAAGACGATTTGCATATCATTTGCCTACTTATTACCATCCATATTTGCCTTATATATAGCATACATTAGAATATGGTAGCATATGATCGAATGCGTATTCGCTAGCGTCACCTTAAAGGGCTTTGCCAGCTCATACTTATTCTCCTATATCAAATGCACATCTATTATCGCTCCGCTCCTCCTCATGCTTGTTCTCTCTTGTTACTTAAACAGTATGCTATAGGAAAACAATTTGATTATAATGTATACAAAAAGTTTATGATACCCAGGATGAATACCAAAAGTGTTTCAGACTTGTTTGTTTCAAAGTGAAAAATTATTTTTACATATGGGAAGCTAAAGATTACAGAGCGAATAACAATCAAGAAAGCAAATTGATTTTCTTAAGGTTACATGTATATTTACAATGGGATTACACTATGAATGAAAATTACGATACTCAAGCTAACCTTCTGAATTCATTTAAACGCAATGTGCTAAAAATTTCTGATTTTTCAGGATAGAAAGCAAAAGGGGGGCGAACTTTAAAATAGATATGATATCAAATAGGAATTTGAGCTTTGTGTACCTATATGAAAGATAATATGATACCCAGGACAACCTTCTGGAAGCATTTGGATGAAATGTGCCAAAAAGCCTATTATTATACTACTCAATTCAATTGGAATAGTAAGGATTTAGAATATTGTTTTTCCTTTTTTATATATTTTATTTTTATTTTATTTTGATATATGAGAGGCAGTTAGTAGAAAAAAGAAAAAATCTATGCCTTTACAAAATTCCTCTTTTTTTCGTACTATTAAAAAAAAATAAAGAAGGAAATCCAAAATTTTTGTTAATTTTTATTAATGACCGAGATCAGCCAAGTGATCCAATAATATAAGTTTTGACCAAAATTTGGATTTCCCTCTTTTCTACTGACCATCTCCTATATATATAGTATAATTGTATTAAATTAATAAACTTATTACAATACATCTTAAATAATATTAGTAAATACAATTATTATTAAAATGGTTAACAAAGAATAAAAAGTTGAAAAATGAGTTGTATCAAAATAATGACTTTTTATAATGATTTATGATTTAATTACATAGAAATTAAGAGTGAAATGAAGAACTAAGATAGAGATATTTGTAATTCAGTCAGGTTTTTGACTTCGTTATTTGATTTATATGTAAATCAAAATGCAATTTACTTATATTTTAGCCATTTTTTTAATTTACTTAGAAATTTTAGTAAATATTTCATATTTAATATTATCTTAGTGTAATATTATTCTTATATTATAAAAAATATATAATATAGATGATATATACATTATACATGTATATATCTTTTACTAATTTGAAATACTTCATAATCATCTACTTGGAACTGATCTTTTGGAATATCAATTTGAGAATAAGAATATGGGTTATTAGCATGCCAATTATTTTCAATATCACAATAAAAATCATAACCTTGACCAAAAAATGGACCATAAGTTGGACCACAATAAATAGCCTTTTGAGACTGATCTTCCATAATATAACCTACTTTTTCAGTTTTAATGATAATTGAGAAAATAAAACTATCTTTGGTTGTTTTCCACGTAGTTCCTTCCCAACCAAATGGATTATATCCTCCCACTATTTGTTCCGTTCCTTTAATTTTTACTACAACTATATTGGCCCCTTTATTATCGCATTTTTGATGAAATACTGTAGGTGTATTACCATCCCTACTGGCACGATAAATTAATTTAAAACCATAAGGTTTCTTCTTGTTATTATATTCTTCCTTATCTATCCAACCGGAAAATATAGTAAAATGTTGAGAGTTAACTAGGATTGAATCACATTTTGATTGTCTAGGTGGTTTCATATCAATATTTAATTTCTTATCTGGTGATAAAGCATATGCTAAGATGTTAACAACCAAAGTCTGTGGAAGCAATTCTTTAAAAGGAAGAACTGTTTCAAGAAAATCTCCTGAAGACATATGATGAAATCTAACTAAAGGGATATATTCATGAAGAGTTCTTTCCATAACTATAGTTTCCTCATTTCTCCATTCTTTAACGTTTTTAGGAATAGATGGGTTTTGAGCAAAACTCCACTTAATTAAACTATTCCAAATATCAACTTCATCCAAACTTAAATCATCCCGTTTTAAAAGAAATTCCAATAAAGGTGCTTTTAAACTGACAAATTTATCAGAATTAAAAAGCTCTTCAGGGTCTTCACAAATTTTTTCAAGATAAAAATTTCGTGATTTTATGAAGGTCTCATGCTGACAAATTGTTTCAAGAATTCCTATATGATTGTTTTGTAAAAACTCATGATGGTTTTTAATTAAATGATCTTCAATTTCGAGAACTAAAGATTGTAAATTAAGTGCACTTGCCGCTATTAGAAGCTTTGATATTTCGGTTCCTTCTAATTTCGTCTTATCAATCCTTCCGCAATATATATATCTGAAATTCAGAGATTTAGTACCTTGGTTTATATTATTGTCATAGTTGATAGTGCTTTATTTACCTTAAAATGATTTTAAGAAGATGTGAAGGAATGTTGGGTATTTTTAAAATAAATTCCCCTTCCCTCTTTTCAACATTTTTTTTAGTTAATTCATCATAAAAATATTGCGATCTAAAACGTAAAATAATTGAATGTGCATGTAGTTCTTTAACGTTTTCATTTTCACCGGCATAAATAATGACATCATAACTTTTGTCATCTCCAAATAATCTTTCATAGTCGTCCTGTAAACATTCTAAGGTCATTTTTTACAGAAAATTAAAAGGAACAATAAAAAAAAAAAATTTTGAAATTGATTTAGCAATTTAAATCAGCATGGTGACACTACTTTTTAATTTTTTGTAGATAATCTTTTAGATGACGTTTTATAATTTCGTCATATCGTTTCGTCATATCGTTTAATAACTGCGCCCTCTTTATATGATCTATCATGCTGCTGATTTTGGATTTAAAAGTTTACTAGCGTTGCGCTCAGTTCTTACAAGTTTATATTTATAAACGAAGGTAAAGGTAGCAGAAGGTTTTTAAGTAGGTATCAATGCAAGAATTTATTTAATAATATCATTTTATCAAGTACTGCCTCAACATTGGCGTTCATGAACTTCCGAAGTCTAATTTATTAAATAAAACAACGTTGCGAAATTACTGCGGCTAATTAAAATTATTCTAAGGGGGAAGATACTGGAATTACTTCTTAATTTCATCAACAATCCACCATCTTATGACTTAAATTCAAAAGAACAACTTGCAGAAGTTAAAACCCAAATGCGCAAATGATCATTTCGGATATTAACGCATTTGGGCTACAACAACTGTATTATGCAAGCTCACTATGTGTAACTTCAAATTAAAGCTACAGAAAAATAATTTTGCTCCGTTTGGTCTTAAGTGAGTCAATCAAGACGTGAAAATTTCAAAAAATCTATGGGTGGAATAATACCAAATGGTTTTTTTTCAATGAAGATAATTTAATTATTTAATGTTGACTAAATTTAAATTTGTTTATTTATTGGAATCGAATTCATAACTAATTTTATCATTATTCATTTACTTTATTTATTTACAAGCTATGTTTACAATGCCGCGAAAAAAAGGAAGATCCTTAAAAAGTCAATCGGTTTTTTTTTGCCGCATTTTTGCGGTATTTAAAAAAAAATTTTTTATAATTGGAAAAGATCTGTTGCGTCAACCAAATCGATGGACACACAAAGATCACACAAATACTTATGCGGCACAATAGTTGTGATATTCCTTATCATAACTCTCAAGAATTTTACGGTTCTTTCTGTAATCGGTTCTGGAGGTTCTGCTTTGGTTTATTTATACTGCATATTGGAAATGTACTCAAACAAAACTTGCAATTAAACAATTTGCCTAAGGTTCGACTACACAGAATGATATTAAACGAGGTTTGTTACTAGTTATAGTTTTGAATATTTTTTATCCAGATTAAATATTCTTTACTAGATTCATTTAATGGGAATTATGAGAAATACGGGGATTTTCATCCAAATATAAATAGATTACGAATTTAAAAGGTAAAAGAATTATGTTTAGCAATTTAATTTAAGTTATTTATGTATTATTGCTCACGCCTTTTTTATATTATTGATATGAAACAAGTTATGAACTTATACTTGAATATGCGGATGGCGGAACATTAGGAAATATTTAAAAGACAACGCCATATCTTTTGACTGGGAAATTCAATTAAAATTTGCCAAAGAAATCGCGAGTGCAAGTTTATGGTGGTTACATGACAATAAAATTATATACATCGAGATCTTGTGAGTGATTATTATATGTTTGATTTTATTGTATTATTTATAAGTTTTTATTATATTATCATTCCAATAACGTCTTAATCCATCAATCATGCCTACTACTAAAGCAGCACGTGGTGTAATAATACCTTATATGGATCCTAAATTTTTTGAAAATCCTTTATATGACTTTACCAAAAAAATCTGTCATTTATAACTTGGGAGTATTATTCTGGGAATTGACAAGTTGTTCATCAACTTTCAATTTTGAAACAACAGACGATACTTCTTCTATTCAGATTGAAATCCTTAACGGTAAAAGAGAAAAGCCTATTTCAACCACAAATGATGTATTTGTTAAGCTTTATCAAAGTAAGAATAATTTTTAGTTTTTACAAGTTTATTCTTTTTAATAAATCTTATCTTTAATTTACATAGAATGTTGGGAACATGTACCAGACGATAGACCAGATATTGATCTAATAATTTCGGAACTATACAACATTGATCATTTTAATTCTAAAGAACTTGAAGAAGTGAAATTAATAAAGAATTAGAACTTTACGATGACTTTTCAGATTGTGACGTTAAATTTATTATTAGGTAAATAAATATTGGACAAATAATTTAAATAGTTGAATAGATGAGAAATTTCTTTTTATTTTCGCTAATGTCAAAATAAGATTTAGAAATGATTTAAAAATTTGAAATAAATATATTTTTAGTTAGGGATGTTAAACGATTGTAAACAAATGTAGAAATTAAGAGTTATAGAAAAGTCTAATCGCTTATCTATAATAAGTAACTCTTGATAAAAAATTGTAATAAAAAATTTTATGAATAACTTTTAAAAGAAATATGAACTTTGAAATCGACAATTTTCATGGGACCGCCAAGGTGGGACCCGATCTTTAGGACTGGGTCCTAAGTTTCAAAAATAAGATTCTGGGTTCCCGAGTAAGTTTAATATTTATTTTTAATAAATATTCAATTAATAAATTATCATTAGAAAATAAAATATAACGCCAATAAAATACAAATCTTCTCTAGAACTGGCAAATTTATTGAGACTTTTAGGACCGTTTAGGAGCGCTTAACATCCCTACTTTTAGTGAATATTATTTATTTGTACAGTACATTCTTTAAAGTCTTATTGATCGACTACCGCGTAATTGTCTTTTTATAAATTAAAGTTTTATTATTTAAAGCTGAACGAACATTACTGTTGATGAATAATATCCGGAGGGTATTATTTTTAGGGGGTACTGTATGCAGTGGCAAACGGTAATATGGTTTTTTAATTATTTTTATTTAAATTAAAACCTTACCAATTTAATTTTTTTTATTTATAAATAAATCTTAGAATTTAAAATTAATTAATTATTTTTTTTTTTATTTATATTTATTTACTGGTTTTTTTTTTAAATTAATTAAATTATTTTTTTTAAAAAAATTATTGTAAGAAATTTAATATCGGTTTATTTAATAAAAAATAAATTAAATAAAAAAATATCCAGGAATTTCACTAAAAAGTATAGGATAGATATCCCGTCAAATTCCCGGGAAAATGTATGGAAATTCCAGAAATTATGGGAATAGCCGCTTTTTATGAAAATCCCGTAAATTCCCTGGCGTATGTATGGAAATCCCGGAAAACTCTTGTAATATATATTTAGGTTGATCTAAAAAAACATATTGGCAAGTTACATTTAATAGACAATTACGAACCTATAAAAAAATGTGGTAGTGACAAACTTCTAATAAGAAAATCCGAATTTAACATTTAAAAATTAATCTAACAATCAAACAATTGTAAAAAACGTGGTGCTAATATTAGGTGGCAAAGTTTTTTTTACTTTTCTGATAATTAATGACATCATAAATTATACATCATTTTTTATTTTAATTTATCCATTCTTTGGAGTTAAATTATATAGTGCTCGGAGACATATAGCTTCTCTTCGGTTGCTAAATCCTTTATCTCAAATAGAACTTCCAACTTATACTAATTTCAGGATAGGGTTTAAAATTTCCGGCAACAATAATAACCCAGGCATATTTCAAAGTTTAAAGTCAATTTTTAAAAGGTACTTTATTTTATTTATATTTTCGACGGTTATAACTTAATTGGAACTTTTATCGTACATATACATTTTGATATTACAGCGTATTACAGCAACGATTATGTATGTTAACACCGAGAACAAAAGCTAAGACTTAAGCGGCCAATACATAATTTTTGAAAATCTCTATTTTTAAATTTGAAAGAAACGAATAAATATTTTTTATTAGGTTTTACTTTCATTATTAAGTAAAAACCTTATCTCTTAAACGCTGTTTGATTTCTTGCTTAATCTCATGCAAAGCTTCTTCTCTAAGCTTATTTATTACTTCATCATCCATATTAAATATACTTTCTCTAGAATTATTTAAATCATTTTGTTTACTTAAACGTTGTTTTAATTCTTGTATTTCCTCTCTTAGCTGATTTAATAAAGCTTTATCACTTGATGAATCATCTTGGTTACTTTGATTTGTGATTTCATTTTTTATATATTTTGAGACCTCTTGATTAAAATCTTGTTTTCGATGAGGAACTTGTTCATCATTGTAATCCTGATGATTTCTTGTATAATTATTTGCAATTGTTTGATCATTATTTAAAGTCAATATCTTACTATGAGCTGCTGATAATTCCTTATCATTAACAGATCCAGCAATTGGCATTACATTTTCATAATTACCGGGGGTTAATATAGGGTTGTTCTTAATTTGTTTATTTACATATAAAATAATAATAATGATTCCAATTATTACTCCTATCACCGAACCAACGATTACACCTTCATTTGCCTCGTCAGGTTTGGAACAAATTTTATTGAACTAGTAGGTTGAGCATATAATAATTGAATATGTATAAATTGAATCAAGGATATTAAAATTAGACCAAATTGATTCATGATGATAAAATTGAGGTTGGATTGTAAATATGGACTGGAAGATGCATATTTATATTTGCTTTTTGATTATTACTATGTTTAATACGAATGTAACGTTTGTATACATTAGTATTCGGTCTTGAAACGCTGATTTGTACATTTTATTTTTTAATAATAGTAAAAATAGAAATATAATAAATAAATAAAAAAAAAAAAAATTTCCAAATATGATGAAATTCACCACCATGAGCTTTATATTAAACCGCTACATCAGATGGTATTTTGAACCACGTAGATCCTATTCATGCACTTTGCCGATTTATTATGACTGTATATGGGATTGATCGATATCAATTATTATCCAATCAAAATCGTCAATTTTATATTAATATTTTTAATTTTAATTTCTAATTTTTAAAAAAAGGTATTTTTTTTACTTTATTTCATTTAAAACTATAAAGATTTGCATGAAATAGAATTAACATTATTTTTTATTATTTTATAAATTTATTTTTAAGCAATTTCAAAAAAATTATTGCAATTTATTATAATTCATTCAAAAATATGAAAATATTTTATCATAATTAATAGTAATTCAAACTTTTGTTATATGGAAATGTTTTAAGTAAAATTATTATAGATCATATGATTTACTATATCTTATAACTTACTTAATTTTACTGAAAATGTTTTCATGTTACTTGAAATTTACGCATATAATATTTGTAATATCAGCTATTATATTAATAAAATAAATAAATAAAATATTATTTAAAATTACAATATTTTGCAATTTTAAATAAATAAATATATTTTATCTAATAATACTTATTATAATAAACTATCAATCATTATATGGGTGGTATGCGATTAAAATTTAGGTATGAGACATAGTAAATCATATGATCTGTACCTCAATTTTAATAGCATATCAACCCATATTATTTTGTACTCTTTAGCCTTATCTAATTCAATATCATCTGATTGTATAAAATCTATTTTATTTTTAATATCATCATTTTTTTCAATATTAATTTGTAATTCATGTAATAAGTACATATAATGATTGATATTAATTACAAAAATGTAAAATATAGAATAAAAATAAATAAAATTTTTTTTTAATCTAGTACTTTTTTATATTAGCTTAACTAATTACTTTATAATAAAACATAAATAAGTTTCTCCTAAACTTATTTTCAATTAGATTTATAGTATTAAATTTATTATCATTATTATTTATTTTTTCATAAATAATTATTAATTAATATTAATGCTAATAATATTAATAAACTTTATCCAATATGTGTTAGTTTAAACATTATTACTAAATTAAATAGAATTCAATTTATTTGAAAATTATTGAAGGTAACAAAAATAATACCTATTTACCTGGATATTTTTATTAAGCAGATTGCAAATCAAGTAACATTGAAAAAATAACAAGTCTTACATTAACAAACTTGTATTAACGCATGAGTTATGATCTAAGAAAATCAAGTTTTAACAAATTTTTGACTAAAATTATTATCTTATTACATTTTAATCTAAATGTAATAAAAATTAAAATACAATTAAATCTCAATTTTGATAAAAAATTCTCAGAACTTGATTTTCTTAGATAACAACTAACATTATTTTAACAAAAATAAAATATTTTGAACTATGTGAGTTTAAATTAAATAATCAATCAATTATTTTTTGAAAAGTATTAACTTTTGGTCTTTTTTTATTTATTTTGATAATTTTAAATTTTTTTATATAATATTAAAAGTTCAAGTCAGAATAATTATGAAAATGTAGATTATAGATTTATATTTTTACTTAGCATTAAAGGAAAAAGAAAATTTTATGTAAATAAAAAATAACTGAAAGTTTTTGTATTATTTGAATATTTAAAAATTTTATGAGAAAGAAGTATTCAAAGAAAAACTTCTATATATTATTATTAAAAAAGAATGTCTTATAATCTGATGGTCTATTGAACATTTTGACTATTATTTATGTTATCAGTTATTTAAAGTAATCACTAATCACTCTACTTTAAATTAGTTATTAAATACTAATATGTGATGTGAAAGAAAAAAAATAAATTTCATTAGTATGCTAACTAAAAATGATTACTATAATTAAAAAAAATGGCATAATTGAGTTACAACTTGTAGCGCAATTAAATTTTCTTATAGCGCAATTAAGTTGCAACTCAATTGAAATTTGAAAATAATTATGAAGATCATCTTTAATGCTAACCTAAAGATTTAATAGAAAAACCTAATTTGATACCATTATATTTACATTTTTTTAAATATTATATATGTATCAATAATATAAAGTTTTTTCTGATTAGAATAAACAAATAAGTTTTATTATTAAATTAAAGTCAATTCTAAAAGCATTTATATATCATGTATTTAAACTTTGAAAACTTCATGTTTAATATATTTTATTAAAAGCAGTAGGATACTTTAATGTAATATTTTATTCACTTGATAATCAATTAGTAAAATAATAATTCATAATTTTTTTAATAAAAATAGTTATATGATTTATTTCCTAATTTATTTTTTATTTTTTATTATTATAGAGTAAATTTTAAATAAAAACAAAAAAATTGAAAAAAAAATTTAAAAACAATGTAAATGTTATAGTAAAGAGAATTATTAAATATAAATTTAATTTCTAAAAAACCTGAAATATGCATTTTAAATTCATATAAACAAACAAAAAACTGGCTACAACTATTGTTAAACAATTGATAATAATAAAAAAAGGAGTTAATAATAATGAAAAATTCTTTTAATAGTCATTAAATTATAATTTAAAACAATTGAAAATATTATACTAAATATAAGTATATTTATAATTTGATTGTATTTTATTAATTTTGTATTAATTTATTAATATATTAATAATTTAAATAAAAATAATATCACAAACCTTGAATGAAGTCCAAAAGTATGCATAACTAAATGAATCAAAATCAGTGTATAAAAAATCTTAGTTAAAATTTATATGCAAAAGTCAATAAATTACTACTAAAATAAGAAAATCATAATAATTTCTTATGTAAAATTACCTTTTTATATATAATTTATCTATTTTTAGTAATAATTTGTATACATTTTATATATGTAATTTGTGTACACAAAAAATTAATGTGCATATACATGTGCATATTGTACACATAAATTTTACACACTGATCAGAATGTTTTTTTATAGAATAATAACTAATTACTAAAGATGGTCCCCATAAAATTTTTAACTAATTGCAACTATTTATGAATTTTTATATTAAAATAAATTTACAAGGAATTGTAACTTCTAAATTATAGTGTTCATTTTTACTAATTACATAAAACTGTATATCAGATAAAATTAAAAATTTTTGTTTAATAAAGAAATAGTTATAATGAATTTATATAAAGTAAATACTAAAATTAGTCTATTAATTCTTTATTTTTAAAATACAGAAATTTTTACAAATAGAATTAAAATAATATATTATTACATGTTAATATTTAGCTTTTGACTAGTTTTTCCTTAAAGTTTCTTTTTGAAGTTTTTAGATTATGCATTTTATTATAATTAGTAATTTATTATTTTATTTCTTCATTAATTAATTAAGTTAATTTTGTAGATTATCTGTGCAGATCATTATATTATAGATTCTTATGATCTACATGCTGACATTGTAGAATCATTTACTATATCATAATTTTCTATTTTTTTAAAGATCATTTGATTACAATATACATATCACTTTTAATATATATTATTAATCATTTTATATTATTGATTTACAAATTAGCAATTAATTTTTTATTCATCATGATAATTAGAAGAATTATATTTTAAATCTTTATTTAATATTTATATTGTTACCCAACTAATGATTAGGCGGACTGAAACACGTAATCAATTGAGTAGCAGCAAGATTTAGCTCAATC